TGGAAACCGGGTCCAGCGTCCCTGACAATTGGGGAATAAGCATAAGGAATCATGAGGTAGCTTGCTGGAAACCGGGTCCAGCGTCCCTGACAATTGGGGAATAAGCATAAGGAATCATGAGGTAGCTTGCTGGAAACCGGGTCCAGCGTCCCATTGCAAAATGTCCTACCTGATCTATTCTACCCAAACCCAAGGGCGTGAGTTGGAACCCAGCAGGACCACTGGGGGGCACCAGTGAATCTCTGTCTGATCCCAGCCCGCCGTTCGGCTACCACTACCATATTACCTCACTACCATATTACCTCACTACCACATTATCTCTAGTATGTCTGAGGTATCATAGCAGAAGTAGAGCAAAGTTTACGCGTGAGAGCCGCCCCCAGAAACACTGAAACTGCAAAGACCCAGCGAAGGCACAACGAGCAGAGCAACAACAACGAGGAAAGCCGGAGGGCGGCAGAGTTCCCCCCTAACCCCCCACATATTCCTCCAGAGCCAGCGGGTGGGGGGGGAAGGGATCAGGRAACGCTTGGGCGGGTTTCAATTGTTCTGCTGGGTCCACCTTTGTCCAGTCTTTGAAGTGGAGCTGGTAATCTCGTTCCCATCCTCCTTCGCGTRCCTCTCCCTCTCCGTCATGTCCGTCATTCTCCATCTGGTCCGTACTATCCCCTGTCCAGCTGACCTTTGCGACCCAGCCCTCCCTCCTTCCCCCCAACCAATTTATACAAAAGCGGGATATAGTTCTGTCTATATCCTTCTTGCTATGCATCTGTTCCATGTTTACTTTGACGTTCTGCCATTGTGCCGTAAGCTCGTGCTGAATAAGTAGTCGTATCTGTTCTGTGACTTCCCCCTCTTCCACCCTCGCCCTCTCTAATTCCAAAATGCACCTTCTCCACCATATAGTCCACAGAACAGCACGTCTGCCTAAAGAAAACATATTCGCCACGAAGGTATCGTTCGGAAGCTGGGGCACTGCAGTGCCCCAATAGGATTGCCCTCCAATCCCAGGGCCATGATGTGCCTGAGACAATCTGTCTCCAAATCCTCTCCCACCATCGCCATTGCAAAACGGCGGCAGGGCATTGTAAGAAAATGTGTTCGATCGTCTCGGGGCGCCTTTTATGGGGAAAATTTGTGGTGCAGCTTCGACACCAGGGGAGAGTCTTTCCTTGCTGTTCCAGCCGCGTGTGGTCCACCAGCCAGTCATTGGTTGGCAGGGGAGGAGGGGAAGGGCAAGCAGGAAGAGGAATAGTTTCAGCGAGAGAAGGTGGAGGAGGAGGAGTGGGAGGAGACTTTTGCAGGCCTGTTATGGTACCCTCGGAACCATTTTATCGGTTTGAGTGTACCTCTGTCTATATTGAGGTGACGCTGCCATCGATCCTCGACAATGTCCCGCAGCCCTCGTCTGGGTCTGAGCATTCTGTAGACCGATTTTGTTTTCAGGCYAGCTAAAGGTACTGCCCTTCCATTCTCGTGTCCCCGTCGTCCCTTACCTTGCCATGACCATTTCCATTCCTGAGGATCGAAGGGAAGGTCTTCAATGGGCATCATTGGGTGGTACACTCTTCCGCCCCTCTCCTCCTCGATCACCCTAACGCGGTAGACTTCTGATTTTCGTTTCCAGATGAATGGTAGGGAAGTCCCTCGTAGATATCCCGTTTCTGTGACATTGTACAGTTCAACCAGCACAGCTGCTTGATCCACTATGTGCATGCGGCCAATCTGTGAGGCGTGGTTGGGTACTCCCACCCAATCGTCCCCTTCCAGTATGGGACCTTTTCTAAGAGTGGTATACCATTGGATGGGGAAACTTTCAATGAGAGCCTCCAGTGATGAGTCTAGT